ATGCTGATGATACGTGTATAGGTACAGTATATCTGTCTATAAATCCAGATAAAGCTAACTTATTACATGGATTACAGGCATGTCTTGAAGAAATAAAAACCTGGATGACTCTTAACTTTTGCTTCTGAATGCAGAGAGAAGTTAAAATCTTTGGACCAGAATCTTTGAAAAATTAGCTGATTAGTCAGTCACTTCATTTGGATGAGATTAAACTGATTTCAGTTAATAAATTAAAATATATTGGTGTCATTTTTGATCAGGACCTGTCATTTCAATCCCATATCAAAGAGGTTTCTAGAATTTCCTACTTTCAGCTTTGAAAGAAAATTGCAAAAATTTTAAATATCCTGTCCAGGGGTGATGCTGAGAAACTAGTCCATGCATTTGTTACTTCAAGGCTGGACTATTGTAATTCTTTACTCTCAGGAAGTCCACAAACTGTAGTTAAAAGCCTTCAGCTGATCAAAAATGCTGCAGCCAGAGTTCTAATGAAAATTAAAAAGAGAGATCATATCTCTCATATCCTAGCTTCTTGTTAAATCCAGAATAGAATTTAAAATCTTAAAAACCTTCTCACATATAAAACCTTAAATGGCCAAGCTCCATCTTATATCAGGGATATGACTGTTCCTTATGTCCCTAACAGAGCATTTCGCTCTCAATCTGCAGGGTTAGTAGTGGTTCCTAGAATTTCTAAAAGTAGAATGTGAGGCAGGTCTTTTAGTTATCAGGCTCCTCTCCTGCGTAACCAACTACCAGTTTTAGTCTGTGAGGCAGACACCCTGTCTACTTTTAAGGGTAGACTTAAAACTTTCCTTTTTGATAAAGCTAAGTGGCTTAGGTTATCCTGAACTATCTATATAGTTATGCTGCTATAGGCTTAGACTTCTGGAGGACATAGGGACCCCTATTTCATCATTCTTTATTCTATCTCTATTCTCCCACTCTGCAGAATCTGTTAGTTCAATCTCTAACGTTATGCTCTCTCTGGTTTTCCTCAGAGTAGCTTTGCCTCGTCTGTTCCTGTTTGGCTGTGACGCCATTTCCTTAGATAGAAAACTGAATCAATTTTACTGTATGATCTGGTGAACTGTAAAGTGCCTTGAGTTGACATGTGTTGTCACACGACAACCATCAGCAAGACTTCTACAATGTGGTTTTACTGGGTTTGATTATTAACATGGATGCGACAGTGACTGCTGCTGCGTAAAGTCCACACTTGCACAAAGCAAGCCAGACACCCACTCACACGTACTAGGTGTACAACGTAAGCCTGAGTGTTGTAAAAACAGCAACATAAAACAATAAAATGTAGAGGCAGAAAGGCAGTTCTTTAAGAATGAATACATGAAAGCTCGGTGCTGTGTAAGCATTCACTGTGAGTCTACGTGGCATTAGGGCAATAAAATGGAATAATGTAATATATGTAAAACCCATCATGCACCACAACATATTTTTGGAAAATATACAAACATAAATCCAACAAATAAAAGATTTTAGTTTGGTTTAAAGAAAGCATTTTAGTTTTATCATAATTTAGTTTGTTGCAAGGATTTTACAGTTTGAAGAAATAAAAAATTACACCATATGCCAACCATCACAAGGATGTTCATGACAAGGAAAATTGCATGCATCATTTATGTAGTTAACATGGTATTACTTTTTGAGCTCCTTGAGTTATTTACTGTCACAGGTAGGTGCTTCGGCCAGAGTGTAAGTTTTGGGGCCAGTATGATTTAAGGAGGTTCGGCCCTCGCACGCTGAAATTAAGACCGGCCCACCGGGCAAATGCCTGGTATCACAGATTACCAGTCCGAGCCTAAACACACACACGCACACACAAACATTTACACAGTAAGCTATCTGTTTAAACTGAATATAAAACCAAAAGAGACGAAAAGAAAATTTGCATGTGTAGATACTTGTCTCAGAATAAAGTACTTTGACTGTTCTTAGTCTCTTTAGCCAACTTTGGATAGGTTTACACTACACAGCAAGCAGTTATGCATGAGTGCAGTAAATGGGTCTCCTTTTAAGTTTCACACAATTTTTTTAAAGCATTGTGGTGCGTGTGTAGGTTTGCTGGTTGTTGGATTCTTTTTTAAAAGTAAAGTAAATAAACTATGCAAACCTTTGTCTGGCTGGTTAACATATCTCAACCTCCCAGAGATTTGTGATTTCATTTACAGTAGCAGCAAGTGAAACACTAGCCGAATGGCAGCCCACTTACCTGCAGCTCCCAGCAAAGTCCCCTCCAACTTCCAGCCACTGGCCTTCTCCTGGGCGTGCATTTTTTTTTATCAAACTCCGCCTTTCACTGAATTACACGGTATGACCAGAAGGGAGTTTTCCTTTAGATATTAATGTCCGCAAATCATGACAGAAAGGATATGTTAGTACAAAGATTGATGTTTAAAAAGGAATTGTATGGGACCAGCCAAGGGCCCATCAAGCAAGTGGGGAAATTAATGTGCTCCTATCAGTCTAATTTTTTATGTCTTTGCTTTTTGTCTGCAGGAGCTTGAGCATGAAGAGCAAAATGCAGTATTTTGGTTCTCTATGGTTGCTTTTTGTGTGCATGCATCTTGCTGATCCACAGGAGGTAATATGTTATAATTGGTGTAACGCTCTAAGATAAATATACACTGCTACAAAAATAAAGGGAACACTCAAATAACACATCCTACATTTGAATGAATAAAATATTCTCATTGAATACTTTGTCATGTACAAATTGTAATGTGCTGACCACAAAATTACACAAACATCGTCAATGGAATTCATATTTATAAACCAATGGAGGCCTCGATTTTGAGTCACACACAAAATTAAAGTGGAAAGACTGTCATGAACCAGGACACGTGGACCCAGTATTCAATGTGAGACAGTCAGTGGGAAACCTGGAGCTGCGCACTACAGCAACTGCAAGGGGCGGGGTGCAACCATCACTGACACTCTCTGGAGGGAGAAACATAGGTAATTTGGATAAGGTGGGTTTTGAATACAACCCCCATCTGTCAATGTCAGGCCCTCATATAGTCCTTATGGATTCAGTTTCTAACCATTTGTGCAGATACATGCACATTTGTGGCCTTGTGGTGGTCATTTTGCAGGGCTCTGGCACTGCCCCTCCTGTTCCTCCTTGCCCAAAGGAAGAGGTGGCGATTCTGTTGCTGGGTTGATGCCTTACTTTGGCCTCCTTAACATCTCCTGGTGTACTGGCCTGTCTCCAGGTAGCACTTCCAGCCTCTGGACACTACAATGACAGACACAGCAAACCTTCTTAATACAGCTCACAATCCATACAGGTGGCTGCAGTACCTGAGCCACCTGTATGGGTTGTAAAGTCTGTCTCATGTTACCACGAGGGTGGAAGCACGACAAACTATCAAAGGTGACCAAAACATCAGCCAGAAAGCATGGGTACTGACTGAGAAGTGGTCTTTGGTTCCCACCTGCAGAACCACTCCTTTATTGTGTTGAGTTATATTGTGTTGTTTTTGTGATGCCTTTTTTTTTTTTTATCTGAGCAGTGTATATTGAAAAGTGTCTAAAACTACATAAAGTAAAATAATTATTTACAACACCCTGGCAGTTTACTTTTTTATGTTTCATTTACTTTAAACAATGCTGTCTGCCTCCAATTTTTTTAGATTTTACTTTTAAATATATGATTGTATATTAAGATTTAATTTCTACATTGAAACATAAAACATCATTGTTTTTTATATCCACGTGATGTTAAGACAAATTGATCTGCCTACTGTTTGTTAATCATTGTTTTTTTTCTCTTCTTTCTAGCTTTTTTTCTCCTCCTCCTTTGCTGATTCAGTCGCCATGGACATGGCCAAGAATTCTATAGATGACAGGTATTCTACCTGCGCAAGGAAAATGGAAGAAAAAGTTCAAAGTATCTTCTTTCAAAAAGAAATGGAGAATGAACCATTTAAAACTGTATGGCAATACTGTGTCAAAAAGATAGAAAACACAGAGAATGGAGGTGAGGGTCTGACAAATTATCACAGGGAAGCAATTTGTGCTTATACAGCCGGACCGCCGGAAAACCTCTATTTGACATTCAATAACAAAGTTAGGACCATGCGTGATGCATATGGTTCATCCTTTCCATTCCATTCCTTACATTTCTGGCTGACCACGGCTGTGCAGATTCTCAAAAAATCAGATAAAAACAGATGTTACACAACTTTTCGCAGAACTGATGCTATATTTACTGGAGATTTGAAACAAGAGATCCGGCTAGGTCAGTTTGTTTCTACCTCATTCGAATCAAATTTAGCTCATTTTGGTACTAGGACATGCTTTAATATTACAACCTGTTATGGTGCTGATTTGAAAAGTTACTCAGAATTTGAAGATGAGAAAGAAGTGCTCATTCCACCTTACGAGAAGTTCAAGATAATTGGAAAGACTACGAAAATCCCTGACTGTGAGATTGTCTATATTTTAAAGAGTACTGGAGTTCAAAGCGATCTGAATTGCAAACTCGCAAACAAATGTCATGGTGATTATTTTCTTCCAACCCTTATTTATGCGATCGTTACTTTTCATCTCCTCCTAAATTTATAAATTGCTGATCTTTTAAGGGAAAGTTACCATTTAACTCTCTTAAGTGCATAATCTTATTTGAACACAAAGACATTAGGGCAGTTGCATACAGCCAATGGGCTATTTCAATACATCTTACAAAATTGGCTTCTGTGATCTTAAAAAAACCAAGATATGTTATTTACAAATTATTCTATATAAAGTCAACCTGATAAGCTATTCGAGGCAGAACCAAATCAGTGCAAATATTGCCTAAAGTTATTTAACTACATAGAACTAGTTTCCAAGAGGTTACCCTAAAAAAAATACTTTTTAATTGGCATGTTTCATGTCGCCGCTCCTGTTGTTCAACTGAAAATTAGCTTTCTACTGTCAGCAAATACCCTGTACTTCCTTTATTTTGTATGAAATTGATAAGAATGGTATATGTTATGATGTGTTTTGTTTCTATAGTGAATGATTAATATAAAAATATATGCAATGTCTTAGAAGCAGGATGATAAATGTACTGTTTGTAAAATAAAACAGGAATGAGCGAATACAACAGAATGTAAAGCATACATTAGCGTATAACATATAGCATTAATTCCACTTCAGCTTGTGATTTGAAAAATGCAATTGTGCTTTCATAATCGGGTTATAATAAAGTTTCCCATTAATAAAGTTATAGTGTAAGCAAATTTGTATTTTTTGTAATGGGAAAAAAGTATTCAACTATTCACCCTAGTTGTCATGGTTGGTTTAGGGATTAAACCCACATGCAGAACACCACTGGAGACTGATAAAAAGTTCAACAGAGTTTATTGAAAGCTTTCACAAATAATA